TTTCGATTCGAATATCGAAAGTCGGCACGCAAGTATAATAAATAATAATTTTAGCACACTTTAGAGTAAATGTTTGTTTGCTGAGAATAAGAAAAGGCATTAATGCTCAGACAGTGTAAGGACATATGAGTGAGGACGTTGGGCAAAAATAAAAATATTCCTCTAAATTCGCTGCATGCACGATGCTCATTTACGAAAAGAGAGTGTCCAATGAAGCTCTCCTATTTATCTGTACCCTCAATCTCAGGAAACCATCCGGGATTTAAATGACAGCCTACCAATAGCATACGGGTAAGAAGATCGTCAATCAATCTACCTCGCTCTGAACAAACGGTTCTGTTAAATAACCTTTATATGTGAAGACTTGGCAGAGGATTGACTTATGGGAAACCACAATTTCTATTTTTGCAAAATTTTGGACTCGACCCGATATTACTCTTATAGTTACTAGTAACATACTAGTCGCTGTTAAGATATTAATATGAGGCATTGAAATACCAATTTTTTAAGCTTAATTAGAAATAGTGAAATTTAATGCCGAGTTGACTATTGGACGACATTCGTTTCTCAGTTTCACCGGAAACTAGATCGCTCTCTATCCGATCCTTCTTCTTTCTCTGCTTACAACAGTGATTTGGTTTGTTTAGATTCAAGTAGTTGCTGGTCATCAGATCACTTAGGCTACCAAAGGGCTACCACAAGTCGAACCAATGTGTAGAGTAAGATAAAACAGAGCATCTGCGATTTTTTCCAAATCTCTACCTGCTCACGGTCGCGGTAGCCGAGTGGTTAGCATTGCGTACTGACATTCGGATGGCTCGGATTCAAATTTCGATGCCACCAAAATCCAAAAATTATAGAAAATTAATTTAAATAAAAATTTAAGTTGAATTTTCTAATTGAGGTCGCCCGCGGCAGCGAATGTCCATCCCTCCGAGTGTATTTCAGACAAGAAATAAAGGCTCCTCATTAAAACATACCATCAGCCGTTCGGAGGCGGCTTAGCATGAACTGTAGGTTAATCCATTGGTTGAAAAACATCAAGACGCAAAACCACAAATCGTAGGAGGAGCTTCGCCGAAAATCGCTTATATATATATAATCAAGGACAATGTTACTAACTTAATGACAATTTCCGGAAACTTTTTGTATTTTACTGTGGATATTAGCGGTGTAAACGTGGAGTGGACTATATATTATATTAAAATTTCTATATAAGTGTAAGGAAACCGAAATCGCGTGAAAAGGTTCACCTTCCAACTAGAGAACTTGAGGATATGAAAATAAATTTAAAAAAACAGAATTTCATTTATTGAGCTTATCAATTACAACACCCTTTGCACACTTTCTAGATTACTACCAAGCTCATCCTTTGACTTTGTACTTTGCATAATTTTTTTCCTTTGCCATGCCTGATTTCCCTTTCGAAACTCGCATATTTATTTATGGCTTACATAAACAACATCAATTTTCCGTTTTTGTCAAATGCTATAACATCGTGTTCCAATGCCGAAATTGTCAGATTTTAACTTATCGCCGGCTTTAATGCTAACAAATTTATTTAATGTGCAACATAAGTTACCGCCTAAACTGCGAGCGTAGTGTGATTCACATTCAATACATACATATATGTATATGGCAATATTGGAACCGCATAAAAAGTATAAAAACAACCATAAACAGCAGCAACAATTGTTCGTGTCATGCAATATCGCTGCTCACCTCAAACAGTTCGAAGTCGTGAATAAGCGTTCGCCTCAAATTGCCTCGTTGCATCGCTGGATCGTTAGCGCAGACAATGGAAAGTGATTGGTGCGCTTACAGCAGCGTTGCGGTGACATGTCAAATATGTGTGCAAATACCAATATACCAATGTCTGCAACAGCATCACGGCAGCTAGAAGTTTTACTAAATACAGCTGCACATATTTCGCTTGACATTTACTGGCACCTCAAATTGTTTACTTCAACGGTTTTATGTGGGAGCTTCAACGTTTCTCGGAATCTGACTTTCAGACAGAAGCACGTGAAAGCGGTGTTTTTTTTTTATTTAAACTATTTTTTCTTATGCAGTTGAGTTCATTGACTTTTGGTGTCATCGTAAATGGTAAAACAGAATGGTTAAACTGAGTATGATCTGTTGGCAGTTAACATAGAGAAATTGTCGCAGCTGTCTTGGATCGGCAAAGAAATTAAGTAAAAACGAAACGAGGACCTTTCACTTGGAAAAAATCTTAAAAATTTTTTGTGATATTTTAACTAATGAGCTTTGGGTCAAATCAAATGAAAGTAGTTAAAAGGAATTGTTTTAAAATTAAAATAAGCTTAAAATATTTTCTAAATCAACTTTTTGCTAAAGAAAATGGATATATGTATATATTTATGTGGAGTTAGAAATGAGTGAGACGTTTCTGTTTAGATTTAGCTGGAACATGACTGGGAGCTTGTAAAGGCTTCATGGATATCAATATAACTTAAACATCACACAAAGCTTTGACATCCTTCGCAACGACTGCTTCATGTATATTTAATTTGCACCTAAATCTGGTACTACAAATCGTCAGGTGATATATATAAATATATGTATATATAACTAGTTGGCGCTTTATAACCGTGGAAGCGAAGTATGAGGAATTATAGTGGATATTGTGATACCTTTGTTTAGAACCAACGGCTATACCCATATGCAGCCTTGACGTGAAAAGGAATAATACAGTTTTATCTAAAATACTAGTTCAATACTAGTATTTTAAAGATAACCGCATACCAGTTCGTCATTTGTTTCCAAATCACTAAGGATAAGACAGGTATTTCCTTTCCCTCCTCAATCTAAGCCCTGTGTTGTGCGTAGTGTGTCTGGTTTTTTCCAGTCGTCGCAGTAATCGAGGGATTAATGCTGTCGCAGTCATGCATAAAATTCAAGGCTTAAATCAATGCTGCATGTAAATTCTTTTTAATATTATTTCTGCGAAGTAGAATTTCTACATGCATAAATTAATTATTATTTAACTAGTTTAAAGCTGACGAATAATCGTATAAATAATCTGTTCTAAGATATCAGCCAGAAACATGAGTAAATGGTAACATAACAGGTGTAGTAAAAAGAAATCCATTATTCTTCCAATAAATGGCGTATCTCTGTATGTCGCATTGTATAAGTCTGATCGCGTTTCACTAGATGGCGTTAGAAAGATGAGATTTCGTGCCTCTATGACAATTTTGTGCTTGGTTGATTCAGTGTTGTTTGAGCATGCGACAAGGATGGCCACTAGCCGAAAACACAAGCCTGGCGACTGAAAATTTGATAGATTCTATGGTTATGATACTGTTACAGTCAACCATGTACTATTTCGATTTCATTCCGGTAATTTTGATGTAAATCAAGCCTCCCGGATTTGAAGGCCAATGGTTGAAAATGTTGGTAAAATCATGGACATTGTCCGACCGTTAGCACTGTTTCGATTGCCCAAGGACTAAGAATAGCACATTGAACCCTTTGGAACCAATCGAAAAGGGCTGGTTACGAAAAGAAAATATTAAACCATTAAATTTTATGCAAAAATAATGGATTTCATTTTACAACATCTAAAATTATTTAAAACAGTTGATGTCAAAAATCGAAATAGTGGCATTCTAGTTTCGAACTAGTATCTATAGGGGTAGTGTAGTTGCATTCAAACCACTGCTGTATTGACCACGATGTCTACAAAGTCGCAAATGGGTAATTTATATTTAGTAACAGAAGAGGGAGTGAAATATAGTGCATATGAGAGATACATAAATATAGGAAATTATAGAAATTTTTTATGTGATTTTTTTTATCAGCGAAAATCAATAGAGATGATCTTCTGCTAATTGGGATGTTGATCGATGTGACTCTCTCCGTCTAGCAATGTGTATTTACATTTCAATTTGCTTATTGATTTCATGTTGTACATGAGCATTATCAACTACTGCCTTTATATTGCTGCTCCCTCATCTACAACAAAGTGTAAGTAGCGTCACTATTTGAAAAAATAAAATAAATATAAAGAAAATAAAAGTGCGCAAACAATAAAATAATAAAAAAAAAATAATATAAAAACTCTTATTTTCTGTTACTCTTTTCCAAAAGTAATATGTAATAGTGTGTGTATGCATTCATGAAACTTGCTTTCACTCTTCACATCTTTTATTTTGTGTTTTTATCTACACCAGCAACGAGGCAGTGATGTATTTGTTTTTCCATGAATTCATTGATATTTACTTTATTCATTGCTTCACAAGAAAATTTATTATTTGTCATTTTATTTTGCATTTTTATTTGTTTATACGTTATTTTAATTTCTTTTAATCCAACGTTTATGGTCAAACCGAACACTTTCTGAGCGAATAAGCTAAACGCTCGCGACGAATACCATATTTATGGCAACACACCTCCGCGCATGGTGAACAGTTGATGGCTGTATTAAGAGAAAAGAAAAGAAAAAAAATATAAAATAGTGACCACCCTCTAGGAAAATTCTACATCAATAAAGGGAACTTCGCGTAGTATTATAATTTGTGTAGGTGACTTTCCTGTTTGGACTCAAACTGGACCATTTTCATCTCTCTTCATAAGTGGCTTATATTTCTTTCCTTTCAAGCATTGATATCTGCATTATTTATTTGCTTTGCTGCCACCACAATAATATTATATACAACAACATGCATTCCGCCAGCGGTTACCTGTGTACTTCTCTTACCATTTGTGTGCTTACGCAGCGGCATATTTTCACACGATATATGGCAAATGGCATAATAAGTTGGAAATTATTGCTTGTTTATGTTGATCTCGTTCTTTTTTTTTTTGTTGTACATACCAACAAGTAGGTACTTGTGCTAGCAATCAATGCGTTTTCCTGCCTTGTTTTTTTCTTATATTTTCTTTTATAAAGAATTAAATGCGTGAAAACTTTTGTTTTCTGATTTTCCGTATATGCATTTTAATTAATATTTTATTATTTTTTTCCTTACTTCCAGAAGTATCGCCATATATAGATTTAATGTTATGCCCGTTGCGGGAACAGTCATGGAGTTGTGCGCGGCAACAATCTGGACGAATACTGGATTTATGGGATGGTGAATTGAGTATGCAATGGCAGAAGTTGAAAGGTATTTTCATACATTATGCATAAAAAGAACAGTTTGGAAGAGGGCTTTGGAAAAAATACAATATAATTTTAAACATTTTTGAAAACTTGCCAATTTAAGGATTACTTCAAAAATATACTTAATATTATAGAAGCTAAATAATTTCGTCAAATTTTATATGTTTTTAGATGTCTTTCACTTACGAATGAAGTATAACAATAAACAAAAAAATATTTAACGGTAATTTAAATGTTTTTTGATATATAATAAAAGCTTCGAATTTCAATTCAAATTTAACGACGATGATTTTCCAAATGTTTCTGCTTCGATCACTGGAGTTTCCAATAAAAGAAAAATAATAATTTTGGTGCAGTTGCTTTACTGTAAGGAAGCTATTAGGCTTAGTAAAAACTAGTGCATTATTTTTGAATGAAATTGAAGACTTTCTTTTAACATAATTAGAATTATTCGATTTATATGGAATATCACTGTTTTGTTCGACAACTTTTTCAATCGATTTTAGCAGGCTGCTCTTGAAGTCGAAATCATTCTCCATAGACAGGAACAGATAGTTATCAATTGGTGCGGGGTTTGAACCAAAAAGGGGATGCCCAATAGTCTCACAGCCATATCCTCGGAGCTTCTGGAGAGTGACTATTATTGTATGTGGTCGGGAGATATCATGAATAAACACAATTTCCTCCCTGAATACCAAGGCTAGGCACTACTTGGCGATTGCTTCCTTCAGACCGTCCAATTACTGACAGTACAGGTCCGCAGGAATAGAAGAAAAGCTCACAGTTGATGGCCCCTTGCCAATCCCACGAAACACCCCAAAAACTTTCTTGGATGTCAATCTGGGCTTGCAGACCATTTGGGCCTGTTTACTGCCCTTCGGCTACCAACGTTTTCATTTTACGTTGCTATAATGGATCTACTTTTCGACACGAGTCACAATCAGCTTCGGAAATGGGTCGATTTTTTTACAATTCAGCATCGTTAGGCAGATGGAAATTCGGTTCAGGAAGTTTTTTATCCTTAAATCATGTGGCACGCTTATTTGTGTATCCAACCTTTTTCAAAAGGACAATCGAAACAGTGCTCGCATGATGGTCAGACTCAACAATTTTCATAATTTTAGCGATATTTGCGACAATTGGTGTTCAACACCAGAACGAAATCGACAAAACAAAATGATTGACTGGTACAATATCAGAACCTCAAAACCCATTCACATTTTCAGTTACCGGACTTGAGTTTTCGCCTTTATAGAAAAATAATTGTACAAATTAGCAATTTTCCTTTTGCTGGTGCCCATCTTTGACATGCTATCAACACTTCTCCCATTATCTTCTTTATCATCTTTCTATCATCACATAGTCTACTCGTAGTCCACTGGCACTTACAGAACTTGAGATATAGACCACTAAAGCCTTCTGTTCTAAAAATAATTACTTTTTAGTATGTACTGTGTGGGGTGAAAAGTAACCTCGTTGTACGCCAAAATGCGTTGGTACTGCAAAAAAGGTTCTGCTGCCTTGTAGTCCGTTCATATTTAGGCAAACGTGCCGAATTTCCATGCGGTACTGCCCTGAGTTTTGTTTTGACAGAGAACGATCCGCTTGATGCGCCGACTGAAATCAATGACTTAGGGCTTTAATTGCTTGCGCATCCACCGTATTCGCCCGATTCGACTCGCTCGTACTATTATCGCTTCCCAAACCTCAAAAGATGGATCATCAATAAAAAATTGAGCTCACGCGAGCAGGAGTATTTTGCAGACCTTCCGGAAAATTACTTTTCGGACGGGATGACAAAATTGAAAGATCGCTGGTATAAGTGTATCGACCTAAAACCAGATTGCATTAATTAAAATAAAAACAGTTAAAAAAATTGTTTTCATTCCCTAGTAGGTTACTTTTCACCACACCTAGTAAACTCACCGATCAGCTCGACGTCGAACTTCAGATTTTCGCGTTATAGAATAGGCCATAGGTATGGGTATCTCCCTTTTATCCGATATTAATTTTTGGCATTATCGCCATAATATTCTTTAAGGTCAAACTATTTTTGTTTGCAAACATTTTATCATATCTCCGGTTCTTGAGACTTTTGCTCTCTGGCAAAACTTAAATTGACGCTTAAAATTAAGGAGGAATCGATTCAAACTGTCGGGTTTTCAGTCGAAGTTACACTAATAATAATAACTACGGTTGTACAATATTAATTTTGTGGTATAGAAAAGCAACTGAACTTAAAAATACTTATTTATACCCATTTGAAAATGCAACCACCACAGATTAATTGAAAATTGTGTAGCATAATCAGTATCGAAGAAAAAAAAAATAACATCAAATGCATGTGCACATATATACATACATATGTATGTTATAATAACGATATTGAGGCTGAAATAGTGCATGAACACTAAGCACAGAGCTTCTTATTGGGTTAGTTCTTAATAATTTCATAGCTACTGTGCCCATGCGCCGTAAACAAAAAAATAAAAATATTTAGAATGCGATAAGCGAGTATGCGTGCATGTACGGCTCATTCTATGTATATATAATATGCATGTAGATTTTTGCTTGAATCTTTTTCTTTAAATTTCTCTGAAAATTCTCCTCCTTGCGAATTCTCTTTTAAGCCGCACATCGATTAAAACCAAGGCATAGAGTTGGGAAATTAAGTATTGAAAAGGTGAATAAAAAATCGCCAGAGCGATATCACGGGTTTGCTTGATAGTATTCGTTGAGTCTTCGGCCAAATATTTATTCACAATGACAGTCTTGGTGAGGCAGAAAATATTTTAAATGGCAATAATAAAACTTTTATTTGTGTAAATTCCATATTTTAATTAATTTTCTGAAACCAAAAGACCACATTCTCCGCTTATTTGAGGAGCTCAGACGGTGAGCAATACAAAAGTCAACTCTCATAATATTCCTCTACAAAAGGGTTTTCCAATAGGGATGGTATAATTTCTAAGTGGCGTTCTGGCCATTTTTAATATGTCATGATCTGTAAACGCTTGCAAACAACAACTTGAAAACGATAACGATTTTTTTTAAGAAAATCAACCACCCCGATGAAGCTCACTCTGATCTGAGCAGTGCAGTGAATAAACAAAATTGTCGATTAGGCTGCAAATTGGATTTACAATTATTCATGAACAACCATTACATTCACCTCAATTAACAGTTTGGTGTGGTTTTTGGTCTGGTGGAATCATCGATTCGTACTGCTTTCGAAATGGAGTCGGTATTACCGTTACAGCCAATGGTGAGCAGTATAGATCGATGATAACCAACTTTTTATGGCCTCATTTGAATGAAGAAGTTAGCTTTAAAAACATCTGGTTGCATTAAGACGAAGTTACGTGTCACACAGCAGTTGCAAAAACCGGGGGTTTGGAGATTTGATTATTTCAAGAAATTCAAGCCATTGAATGGCCTTCAAGAAGTTGTGATTTAACACCATCAGACTACTTATATTCCGGCTATTTGAAGTTATTGGTCTTTAATAGTAAGCCAGGGGTGGTAGTGCTCAAAAATTAGGCTCATCGAACTCATTTCTGCAACAGAAGTCGCGGAGGCCATTTGAATGATGTTATTTTCAGAATTTAATTGTATGGCTATCATATAACCTTAATGCGCCGAATTGACAGTTAATGTTTAAGCAGCCTATCGGGCTCTGGAGAACACGAGGAAAACGACACATTCGGGTCTTCGGTTACACTTTCACTTACTTAAAGTAGCGAAATTGGCGTTGGAGGAGTAGAGCGATGATGCACAGGTCTTACAATATCTGAAACCGATCCAGCCTTTTCAAATTTCTTGAAAATTTTACCAATTGCTTGACTAGTTAAACGATTACGTGCACCATAATCTACACTTAAGTTCATCCTCTCCTTGTTTCGGAACAAAAAATCTATTGTTTTACGCAAAAATGAGAGCCATATATTTGTGGATTATGTGTTTAAATGTTATACGATGAATATTTTTCAAATGGCAGCTTCTCGAACACACCAGTCTCATGCACGCTGCGAACTTATAAAAATCTTTGAATGCGTTTTTCTGGAAATCATGTTTTCCGATCTAACTTCAAGCCGAATTCTTTTTTCTAAAAACTGTTTCAAAGTATATAGTTTTTTGGACGTCTTGAACCTAAGATTAGCATTAATGTTTAATTATTTATTTATTTTTTTTTTTAATATAATTTAAGTGAAAAAAGTAACAAAAAATTTTACTTTATAACTACAATGAGCAAATGCAATAAATTTATAGTTCAAATTGTTTCAATTGAAGTTCAGGAGGTAGAAATTTTCATGATCTTCAAGTAATGACAACGATTTTTGATATCAGTCCAATACAAGAGGCTGTAGGATTGAAGGTGTTGGACCATGCCTTTCGCGCAGAGACCGTAGCCGTCATTTTGAATTTGGACGATTCGCCGTTTTATAATCCCAAATAATAAACAAATTTAATAGTCAAAACCGGAAGTTCGTGCGCCTTTTCATTCTCCCACAAAAAAATACAAACTTTGCCTGATTCTTGTCCAATTTCAAGTGATGGTCCGCTTAAAGCATGAAACGTTGCCTCCTTCGAATTACCATTTTTCAAGTATTGTCTATTGTCAAATTTTAACTAAAACCAAATATGTTTGGTTTGACGGTTAATTTAGACAGATGACATAATATAACCGTATCATTTTGAAACCACGAAATAGATAACCCCATATAATCAAATTGGTCCATGAAATGAAAGTTCATGAACAATCGATGCGACTTAACTTCGCTCTACCAGCTGAACATCGCTCGACCGATGGGAAAACTGCCGTTACTGTCAATGCAGATCGATACTGCACCATGCACAGAGATCATTTGTTTCAAAAGAGACGATGTGTATTTTCAACAAGATAACTAACGCTGGGTGTTGGGTATCATTACGATTGGTCTTCGGTTCGACGATTGTGGATGACTCAACACATGAAATTGAAGCCGCTCTTTCACTCTATATTTTATGTTTTTTTTTACACATTCTTTGAACATCTTCTTGAATTTTCAGTGTTTGTGCGTTCGCTTTTTTGATTCAATCAGCATAGTTGTCAACTTTGATTTATGACGTCGACTAAAAAAGTCTCAACATTCCTGTTTATTAAAAAAATGCATATTTATGTACATGAGCATACCTGTAGGTGATAAAAGAGGTAAACAACTTTATTGTCCAGAGTTGGCCAACTAGTTGCTGCCAGTGGTTTTTGTTTGATTTACTTCTTTAAACAAATTTTTTCTTAACTGGCCGGCAAAGCGAACCGGTGTGCCAATAGCCGGGTTAACTTGATCATGCGTAAAACTGGCGTTTGTATGCCTTCGCATGGTAAAAGCAAATTTGAAGAGTGAATAGTGCAAAAGACTTTATTTACACTTTTCTTTTACGACAAACCGACCATAGGAAATGTGCCGGTGGTTGAGCGAGTTTTGCTGAATGTCAACGAAAATAGGCCTGCAGTCACACACGCGAACACATACAACTATACATCTAAATATAGCAACTGCAAGTACATATCATTAGGACTTCATAGTGGCAGCGCTGTGCCAGTGCTGTGATGACCAACTGACTGAGTGGCAGTAACTGCAATGCCTCATTAAATATTTAAGCATTTTCATTTTACAACATGGTGTTTTTCTTGTGCATTTTATTTTGACTTATTCTCATTTTCTTTTGTCATTTCTGCAGTGGAAGCCGATCGTCAGCTCAACGCGACCATTGAAAAGCGTGGCTACAGCGCATCCGAAACGCTCACAAAGGAGAAACCGTCCACGATTTTGAAGAAAATCGAAATTGGCACGAGTTACATGAAAAAGTATTTGGCGGAGACTATGGATGGGTAAGTGCAACAGTACAGTTAAGAGAGATTGACAAATAAAAATTTAATTGAAACTCTTTGCATGCCAATCAAACAGCTTCTTGGGGCGCGAGTACGACTATGTGCAAACGGCTCCGAAACAAAACTTCAACAACGAAAACAATCAAGTTGAAGAGGTTGAAGAGGCAGAGGAAGAGGAAGAGGAAGAGGGGGAGGAGGAGGAGGAAGAGGAAACCGATAATGATGAAGCAGGAGAAGAGGATGATGATGAGGAAGAGGATGGTGTGGAGCATACCGAAAACGCACAAAATGACGAAGACGACACACAGCAACACATCGTCACCTTTCAACGACGCCCCGTGAGTGTACACAACCCACAGCAGCACAGCGATGTGGCGCCCCTAATCGGCACCGCGCCTGGTTTTGCCAACCAACACAATTCAGCGGATGTCGAATTTATAGAGATCGAAGACAATGAGCAAGAGAACACGCCACCAGGGCAATTAAAGGGCGGCGGCGGTGGGCATGGTGGCGGTAATAAGAAGAGACGCAAAAATAAACGTAAGAAGAAGCCAGAAACACTGTTAGTCGTACAACCGGCAGAATTAGAATTACATGGTCATGGCGGGCATGGACATCATCAGCAGGAAGCTATCGAATGGGTGCCCGTCACACATAGTAAACCGGCGAAAACGAAACCAAAACGCAAGAAGAAGAAGAAGCATCAATATACAAACGATGAGAGCGTTGTTGTGGTTGAACACGAACCATCGGATCACTTGGGCCTGGGACTGCTGGAGGAGCTAGCAGATGCAGTCGATGTAGGGGATGGTGGTCATAAGCGCAAGCATAAGAAACCAACAAAATATGGTAGAAGCGTTGGAGGTGTGTGTTTGCGTGTGATTTATTAATACAGATCGCACCCTTTCCGTACACAAATTTTTACTATCTGCTATATTTTTCGTAAATATTTACATCTTCGCTATCCATAAATTACTTTGTTTATACTTATATATGTAGTGTGGTGTTTAGTGTTTTTTGTTTGATAACTACGTATACAAGTAGTTGGTGTTGGTTTTCAATGTAAGAGCTTTCCTACGCATTTCCTTTCCACTATCACTTTGTTGTTTTTTTTTTTTTTTGGTTATGGTTTGTCAAAATACCCTACACCCAGCCACTGAACTAACGAGCAGTTTTGAATACTTATACCATGAACCATATTCAAAATCTAAGTCAACTAAATCAAGTCCAAATATTTTGGAATTACTAATATTTTATTATTCTAATACTACCCAATTCGAAAAATTCAATTAACATAACTCTTTCCCTTAACCATAATTTCACTCCAAGTAGGGAATCCAAGGCATTACTAAACAAAAAATTATAAAAATTGTATTCCATATTTAATGTATTTGAACTCTTTCATAAATTGCTCTATCCTATATGCATATTTGATCAGTGGTTCCAAGTACTAATCAACGGGAACTTAACCTAAAACTTTATCCGCCATTACTTAAATGAACTATCAAGTATGTTCAATTCAATCTCACTTTTATAGTTAAGAAAACAATTTTTATTTAAAAAAAAAAAATACCTAATTCCTTCTCATAGGAACAGTTTTGGCCAGAAAATGACAAATTGTATTTGCTCCTAATATTATTAGAGAAATTAGTAATATTTACCTAAACCAATAATGGCGAAAAGTGACTAGTTCCAAAAAAAGAGAATATTTATCAGGAAGAACTTCAAGAAAGGTGCTTTTCTGGTACGACCTTTGAACTCTAAAAGCACTTAAAATTGCTATACAAATAAAATATTTTTCTGGATGTTCCAAAATTGTATCTTAGTGCTTTAAGGAGGCGTCTTTCATGGCGGTTTTCGGAGCACCAAAAGCGCCAGTAATTTCCAACAGAAAAAAGTTGTTTTTTTTTGGAGAATTTTCTTTACTTTGAAAGAGTTCATTTAGGAAACAATGATGTCAGTTTCGCCGATAATGGAGCGTATTTTTTTTAACAAAAAGCTTCTGTATGAAAATTGAAAATCTTCTAACTCTGGGCTTAATATGTCTTCGAAAATAACGCTGATTTTGGTCGTCTTAGCATCAGCCGAAACCGTGCATTTACATCGAAGTTCCCTTATTATTTTATATTAAATACCCCATTCTAAGACAATAAGTTCTTTGAAACAAAGAACAAACTCACGAATGTACTGGTTTTTTTTTCGATTTAAGTGCTTCTTTAGAACTCAATTATAACTGAACTTTGAAACTGCCGTAAAACTCATTAAATACAAATCATCAAAAATCGACTCAGTCAACATTCTAAAAAAATAATACCAAACCATTCACTTACTAAACTAATTATTTAAACCATATTATTTATAAAAGCGTTAAAAATAACTTTATTAATAGATAAATTATATTTTCTAATACTGAATGCTTTAGAAGCTTTCTAAAATCATATCAAAGTAACCCTAACTATTTAATAACCAATCATAATCAAAGACGCTTCAAATTCATAGAAAAAAGTATTTAATAATCATTATAAAGTTATACAAAAATTCATATAAAATTAGTAGATATCTGGGTGTAGGGTATTATACGACAGTAAATACCGCCTCGATTGACGAGCAGCTAGCCTTGCCACACGTAAAGCTGAAGCAGTAAAATAGCAAGTACACGAACCTAAAAGCTCGTAGTAAAACCAAATTTGAGCTTTTATGTTGTATTTTAAGTAGTCGGTAATGCAGTGCAGTAGGGTGTGGTGTATATATTTTGTTTAGTTTCAAGTTATAAGTTGGTGTAAAATGCGCTGCAGAAAACGAATGCAACTGAATAGTATTAATGTATTAAAATATTAGACAAAGAAATATTTAAAATTTTTCAATTTAAAAATATGATATCTGATTAAAACCTTAAAATATTGTAATCTGAACGTTTTCATAGTATTTATTATATGACTCGTTAGTGGAGTACTCTTGCAATTTCTCTAAATGAAAAAGCGCATTTTATAAAAACTTAAATTAACACAACATATTTGTTGTTTATAATATTATTAATTTGTTTTTTATGACCATATCATTAAGCAATTCGGTTAAATAAGCATTGACGAATGCCACGCTGATGAGTTTAATGGGGATTTATGAAAATTTCAGTTTGTTCAAAATTTTTAAAAATTAACTTTTAATGAAAAAGAGGATGAAGAAAATTTTAAAAAACTTTTAATGGAAAAAAAAGAAATTTTCAATAAAAAAGTTGGTGATTTTGAGAAAAAAGTTAATAAAAATGAGAAAATTTAATAAAACCAGAAATATTAAAGTTATAATACAATTTGAAATACAACAAAAAATATATAATTTTTGCTTTTTGTACATTTCAAGGAACTATAAAATTTAAAATATATTTTTCCGAATAAAATGTAATTCCAAAACAATAAAATTATATTGAACTCGTTCGCTTTGCAGTCTTTTCCTAATAATAATTATTATTGGATGAGTGCATAAGTTCGTGCCCGATTCCGCTGGATGCTGTTCAAATCTTTTGAGAGTGGCGCTCGTGAAAGAAATATATACATAATATATATCGTTGAAAAGGTGACAGTCTGAACTGTAAATCAAGCATTAAATAACTTCATTTTGATTTGAGTTGCTTAGTGAAAAGACGCATGGAAGATGGACAACGAAAAAGATCATATGCATCATATTATGTTATACGAATTCCGCAAAGGAAAAATTGTAGGCGCTGCAACTAAAGAATCAGGCATCCGTAAATTAGTTGAACGTTGGAAGTAGATTGCCGAACATGATGGCGAATACATAATTGATTAATAAAAGCGCTTTATTAAAAAGATTTCAATTTTAGTTTGCACTTGAAATCGGGCACGAACTTATGCACTCATCCATATATATATATATATGTTTAAATGTAAGTTTGTATATATTTTTTTATTAACTCGCTTTTGCTTCTCTCTAACTATTTAATGCACTACGAAACGCACTTCATACTAACAAACACCCACCCTCCCAACCGTTTTTCATACAGTTATTCGTATTTTATCGTAGTTGTAAGTCCCGCTTGTGTCACGTGACTGAGTTGTACTAATACATAGGCATGTGCCACATTTTTTTTCTTTTTCTCTACATTCTTCATTTACACACACACATACATATAGTAACGCGTGGCAAGAAGAAGAAGAAGAAGAAGGCACTCGCTAAACTGGTGTTGTTGGGCTCTTTCTTGAAGGCGAAAATCGAGTTGTTACTGAAAATTTTGGGAGCGCATTTACAAATCAAATTCTTCGCCATCGCTTTAATTGGTCTGCTGATAAATATTGCGAGATTTTGGATTGATGTCAAGCGCGGTGGCGCGCCCCAAAAGGTTGGTATTTTTTGGCTACTTCTTGGATGCGAGAAAAGGGCCAAAGGTGTTAAATTCATTTAATATTAATTTTGTTTTACATCCCAACACGTTTATTTGGAATGCGCGTGTTTTTGATTTTGTTTTGCTGTGAAATATGTTTGTCTTGTTTGTGAAGGAAATTCACTGCACAAATGTTTTTTATGGCATTATTTTTTAAATTTTTTTTAAATTTATATTTAAAATACTCTTTTATTTTCAAAATTTTCCATTAATAATACTTTCATAATTTTTGTATTTTTTTCTTCTTGTGGTTTAATTAATATACCTAATTTTATTATTTTTCTAACATTTTTATCGAATGCCATAAGGTATTGCATGTGTATGTGAACGCGTGTGTTTGGCTAATTTTGCATGTGCGTGAATTCAACAGGAAAAATTTTTGAAATTGCATGAGTTTTTTTCTTTTGTGAAGTACATCTTATTATCTGCATGTAACTACGTTAGACTTCGCAAGCTTTTTTGTTTAGGTTTAGAAAAAAAATTTGATTTTTTGGCTGCATGTAATTTCCTATCTCTTTGACTATATAATTTTTTCCGTTTCTCTTAACAGGAGCGTGTATTTTTTGTATTTTTTTTGTTTATAAATAAACTAAACTATATGATAATTGCAATAGGTTAAAAGCATAATCAATTAAATGCATATCAGCGAGTCCATTTTACTTAAAATTTAAGTGAAGTTGATATGCTCTTTTTTCTATTAATTGACTTATTGTTTTATCAAAATTAACTCATCGTAAAACTAACAGTTATTGAAAAATATATTTGCCGCAAAAATCTTGTCGCTTAAATAATAAACAACATAGAACGAGTTGATATATGCATTAGTTATTAAAAGCAGTGTTTAAAGTATGAACACCGCTAAAACCCTACAGTTAAATTTTTAGTTCCAAAAAAGTAAATAATAAACTTTTTTTTTTTTTTATTTAATTTAATTTGATTTGAGTTAATTTTTTTAATTTAATTTTTTTTTTTTTTTTGCTTTCATTTTAATTCATCTAATTTAATTCAAATTTTTACTTTATCACCATTTTTATTATTTGATTTTATTTGATTTGATTTTATTTTGTTTAATTTTTTTATTTTATTTTTAAATAAATTAATTGCATGACGATGTTGACGCAGTGGTAGAGCACTCACTTGTTAAGTCAGGATCAGCTGGCTTGATCGCTGTCATAAGAAGTCTGATAAGAAGATGTGGTGATCTCTGAAACAGCTGTCAGTTCTACCATTTTTCTTTGTTGCATAACAAAAAATATTGAATTCATACAAACAAACCAGACCTTTAGCTCACTAAATAAAATACTTATAACTAAATTAATGTCATGGCCGCTAAAACAATTATAAAACAATTATTAAAAAAAATAATTTATTTTATTTCCTTTAATATTATTTTAATTATTGAAATTAAATTGATTAAATATTAAACCTAAATTTATTAATTTAAATTAAATTTATTTAATTTAGTAAATTTAGTTTAATTTATTTAATTCGATTTTCTGTAATTTAATTTATTTTGTTTTATCATATTTTGTTTATTTTAATTTATTTATTTAATTCTTTATTTTATTCTACTTTATATTACTTTATCTATTTTGGTTTATTATATTATATTTTACTTTATTTAGATTTAGTGTAATTTATTTTATTTTTTATTTCTCATTATTATTTCTGATTATTTTTTTATATAATTCTTTTGTTAGTTTTATGTTGTTCTATTTTACTTGACTTTTTTTATTTACTTTTTATATTTATTTTGTTTTACTTTTTTTTATTTAATTTTTTTTAGAAATTATCGTTTAATTTATTTTGTATATTTATCTTAATTAATTAATTTTATTTTATTTTATTTGATCTTATTTTAATATTTATTTTATTATCGTTATTTTTTATTTTATTTCATTTACCTTTTTTAATTATTTTGTAGTTTATTTTGTTCTATTTTTTTAATTTTATTATTTTATATTCTATATTTTTTACATAATTTTTATTTTATTTTATTATACTTTTCTTCTCGAGATTTATGAGGGATAATAATTATACCGTCAATATAAAAATTATTCTCTGAGTGAATGAGCTCCTGCTTTCGACCAATGCAAAGAATATTTTTGCTAGCGAACAAAAAAGAAAACAAAAGTAAATCAAACAAAGTCAAATACACCAACAAATACGCACACACGTAAACACACTCCACTACACTCGTACATTCACACACACACATACACAATCAATCCTTTGGGTATCTTTGGTATTTCCTTGGTGTTTCTCACTTCAAAGAACAAACAATTTTTCTAATACCAGGTTGTCTATGTTGAACATGCACACCATCAGCACCACTATGAGGACCATGGCGATGATTGGGGTGGCGAGTCGGGCGGCAGCTATTGGAAGCGTTCACTGCAAACGGATCCCACTGTAGAGGAGGCGGCAACCGATAGCTATCAGCCGGTGGGCCAAAGCTCAGATCCACACTATCTGGCATATCACGGACAGTGGCAGTGAGTGAAGCCATCTGGGCATCTGATAAGAAGACATTTTAAATGCACAAAAATATTTTCGTTCAAATTTTCAATGCAAAAGTTGTTTTTTTATTTTCCAAATATTTTCTAGTTTAAATTAAATTAATTTAATTTATTGTTGACTTAATATTTTGTTGTACAAATCACAAAAGAAAATGCATACATATACATACATACATGTAATTGGTTTAAGTTCTGTTGCGGAGTGCAAAAAAAAAGTGAGAAAAAATTTGTAAAAAATTGAAAATAATTAATCGAAGTTGCCAGAAATCTTAAGATTAGCAAAAAAGTTAGAAATTTAGCTTTACAGTAAGGAAGTCAAAATTAACTGTTAACATTGGCTTATAAGTGATGTTCGAAATTAATTGTTGTTATAAGAAAAATATTATACATAAAATATTAGTTAATTTATTTTTGCAACTATTGGCTATATAAATAAATTAAGACAATACTGGAAATACTGCAATATGAAAATAGAGTTGACTATTGTATTATTTTTTTTTTTAAATAATTAAAAATAATTATTTGGAATCTGCAATTTTCCTACAAATCTTCACATAAAATTGTGTAGATCTAATATTTATATATATATGTAATTTATTTTATATTTTATATAATATTTATATTTATTTAATATTTATAATTATTTATTTCATTTTTCTTGTTATTTACAATATATATTAAAATTATTGTTAAAGAACTTAATTGCAAATAAGTTTTTGCAACAAATAAATGCTTTTAATGAATTTAGAAAAACATGTTTTTTATTTTTTAATAATAAAGTACACTTCACTCTCAACTAACCTTTTCATACAAAAAAAAAAATAAAATGAAAAAAATTCGCAACTCGAAGCCTTTGGCACCGACAACTGAGAGGTCCAAAATTTGCGACGTCAAGAGACGCGGTTTAGGCGTACAGAATGTATGTCTTGGCAATACCTCAATCAGTTTGGCAGAAGTTCAAATCGATTTTAAACTGTATAGGTTTTAATGGGAAATATTTTGAAAAGAATAAAGCGATTTTCCATAATTGATATTTGTTTTTGAACTCTAATCTCGATATATAAAAGGCAACCCTGGCACAAGAAAAACTTAAACAACCTCAATTTTACATTAAATGTTAATAATTTTTTTAGTTTAAAATCTTCATTGAAATATATGCAACTGCTAGAAAACACACCACAGAGCTCGAGACACCCGTGCATCAAACAGTACCAGTCGCTCGATACTCGCTCGATGCTCGTTCGTCGCTCAATAGCTCAAATGCTTGTTTGAAATGTTACAATTTTCAATTTCGGTTGTTAAAATTTCTTAAGTATTTCAACGAGTTTTACACTTTGCATAAATAAATTTAAAATTATTTGTCGAAAACTGTTTACTATAAATAAATTTAAAATTATAGGAAAAAGTTTTGAGAAAAAAGGCAAATCTTTTCGTTAATATACTCGAGAAAGCTCGAATCGCCCGTGAAAGCTCGAATTGCTCACGCTCGTGCATAGTTGAAAACTTTCAAACAATCAGCAATGAACAAGAGTGCGAGTACTCGTAGCTCTCATGCTAAAACTGCTCGAAAATGTTCCAATAAAATCTTGAGTTCAACTTCAAAGCCATGCCATGAATTGAATGACAGGCGCCAATTTTAGTTTTCTACACACATTCTTAGCAATTTTTTTATGTCCATAGGCTATAAAATTCTTTGGAAACTTGTTTAAAATTTAAAAACTTACATACATACATATAAACTTTTAAATTTTTTTATCTCTTTATCTTTTTATTTTTTTTTTTTTTTTTTTTTTTTTTTTTATTTTTTTTTTAATTTCTTCCTTTGCGTGATTTTATTTTACGTTTTGTTCTCCTATTCCACATTCTATTGGCCCAATTTTAAGCGTAGCGCACTCGTAAAATACCAAATAAGCATGCGCCTTTGCAAGAATGTGGTTCCTGATGTGCCGTTAATTCTGCAGCTAGCACAGTTCTCGACTATAAAAAGAAATTGACAAATTCTTCAATTCGCAAGCACAAGCGGAAGCACACTAATACCCGGTTTCTTTTTTTTGCACATACATATGCACATATGTATGTATGCAAAGCATGTGCACACATGTATGTTTGTATATAAAATAACTACAATTATATGTTTCGCGAGGTGAATACACTTTATGCTTACTGAAAAATTCACCTGCATGCCTACATATGTATGTATGTACATAGCTACCACTTACTTTACAAACATACATATGCATGTCTTGTCTGTTCATCTGCCTGCTATGTACATGATTCGTTACTGCTGATAATTTTGATATTCTAGCGGTGTTTCGAAATTTGAACGTTATTCGCTTGTATTCGCAATCAATTTCATAGTAAACAGTTTTCGACAAATATTTGATTTTATTGTTATTTATTGTATTGCTTTTGTTGTTAAAAGCTTATGTTACTAGTCTAATTGTTGGGTCTCCATTTAGGGGGAAAGCTGCCAAAAATGTGGCCGCTGAAATGTGTCGACAAGTGTAGAAAACAAGTCAATTTGTCAAAAGGTGTGTTCGAAATGACACATAAACACTTTTGTTTTTTTTTTCTTATTTTACTTTTATATCACTTTTTTAATTTACAAAGTTTTTTTTTAAGATGCCCAGTAAAGCTCGTATGTATGTGAGCAAAAATTTCCTACATAATTAACCAAGTAAGAAAAAAAAAGTCATGCAATCATATCTGGAAATTTCTTGAAAATTTAACTCAAATAAAACCCTGTCCTACGCTACGAAAACTAAAATCTATCAGTTTCTGTAAGTATGGTGGAATGAATGAGCTCACTTTTAATATAAGAATATTTCGAATGTCAAGAAGCTTAAGACCTTAGTTGCTGCCGCCCCGTTCGCTCATGTCCGCCTAAACACTAAGGCTAGCAATACAGCCATACAAGACACTACTATCGACAAGATGTCGAGAACGATTAAGATGTGTTTGGGATGCCCAGCTTAAGTCGGGTAAAACGTGGGTCCAAATAACATATCAAATCCAGCCTGATCCCAGTGAATTGCCAGAGAAAGACTCTAAAATTGCGTAATCTTGCCAAAGAACAACTAAACTCGACGCTTTTCATGCCCGTTGCGGAAACCATGAGTTGTAAGAGTTTTAAATGGGCATTGATATTGTTAATAAAGTTGAGAGACATTGGATACATCGTCTGGATAATGTCGTTCAAATGGACATGCGTTATAGTAACCGCTGCTTGAAGAAGACCCCTCTTCCGTCGGAGTGCTCCGTGAACGGTTAAGAAAGAAACGACTGACGCGCCATTGCTGAATTAGCTATTATCACATTAGTGATGCCTACAATGAGGGCCCTGCGTGTTAGGGAATATTTTTGAGGTTACAACAACAACAATAATATGAAGAAGCATACAAAGATGAAGTAAAGTGTAGAAGAATGTTGAGTGGATATAAAGTTGCCGTAAACTTTTTATTTTCGTTTATACGAGGGTATTCATGGAAGGTGTTTTTTTTTCTTGTCCCTTTTGCCGGTATAGACATTATTAAGCTCCCGGAATTAATTGAGTTATAAAATGTGTACATTGTAAGCATGTTCATATGTATACTTAACTATTATAAGCATACATACATACATACATTTTTGACAATATTCAATGAGAATTTCATTCATAAATACACGTCAAAGGCAAATTGGTGAAAAGGGAATTACAAAAATAATATCCATTTGATATGTAAATGATTATGCACAGGAAGCTCGAATACTCGTTTATTGCAAATTCACAAAACATACAAAAACAAAAACAAATTTCTGCAAAAAGTGAAAAACAAAATCACAAAAACAAAAAAAATATATATATATACTATATGTATATACATATATTTATACGCATATCTACATTGTTACAAGACAATAGTTTGCCGTACAGTCTGGCATTAGCTTTCCTTATCTGCCACTTGACAACAGCCAACATCAGCAGACCGTGTGCTTTAAAAGCCAAAATGCACTTCGACCGGCAGCAAGCAGAAGATGGCCCTGCAGAACAGGCAGACGGTAGATAGATAAGCCGTTACAACAAGCGGTCGAGCTGAAGAATTTCTTCTTCTGTTCCATTATGTATTTATTTTGGAACGTGCTGATGGGTTGGTTCATTGGTTGGTTGGTTGGTTGGTTGACTAGTTCAACGGTTGTGTGTCTGTGTCATGGACACCTGACTTGCATACATAAATTGTGTTGGCTATTGGTGAGTATGTTCGCTGTGTGTGTGATTTTGCTTTAGGCAAATTCTATACATATATAAAATTAGCAAATTTTTAAATACTAAATATAATTTTAATGTATATACAATTATATATTTTTCGCCGAGCTCCTTCTCCAATTTGTGGTTTTACGTCTTGATGTTTTCACCAAGGAATGGTTTATACTAAGCCGTCTCCGAACGGCTGATGGTTTTTTTATGAGGAGCCTTTATTCCAAGTCAGAAATACACTCGGAGGGGTTGAAATTCCCTGCCGAGGGGCGACCACAAATTAAAAATTGAAATTTATTACTTTTTATCCGGAAAGTATAACTTGGTCCGATCTGTTCGAAAAATTTGTACATATCGTTTGATTTATATAAAATTTGGTTAAGTCATAGCTTTGAACCCAAATTACTATTGAAAACATTTTTTTCTGGGAAGTAGACCTGGGATCGACCTATTCGAAAAATCGAATTTAATTTTAAGTCCATTGGGTTACTTCGAAATTGGTACAAAAATAGCTCTTTGCCTAAAATTATACTTTTTCTTGTGGTTCAATTCGATGGTTCGACTTTGCTTAATACGTGGAACGTACGGGTGATCCAAGTAGAGGTAGTTCTTCTAGTTCTTTTTTTGACAGATCAGATAGCTGAAAGTGTACACGAAGACCATGGAAAGTCGGCTCGGCGCCATTCGCAGCAACACGAACTGACGTATGGCGTTTGCGTCAAGATCTAAATTAAAAGCGTACAAAACACAGCTTGTGCAAGAACTGAAGCCACTCGACCTTCACGAGCGACATCGCTTTGCTCTAATAGGCTCTTAAAAAGTTCCACGAACATCCGACATTTTCGAGA